TTAGTGTTAGGTTAAGGGTTAGGTATAGGGTTAGGGTTAGGGTTAGGTTAAGGGTTAGGGTTAGGTTAAGGTTTAGGGTTAGGTTTAGGGTTAGGTTTGGGGGGGTTAGGGTAAGGTTTTCACGTTATTTTTAAGTTTCCCGCTCACAGCGTGCTGTTTTCGTCGCACTGTGATGATGTCACGTACGCGCTTTCGTCGAGCGCGCTTTAGTCTACCGTGGTTTTGTGGTGGAACCATTGTTTCTACCCAAAGAGGTACAAATTTCCTGCTGTCTGACGGGAAGAGGCCCTGTCTCGATTTGATATAGTTAAAGATGCAATTTCTATTCAACTAAAGAATAATTTCAGGGTAACTTCTGCTAACTAAGAAAAGTAAAGCTGCCACATAGTTGGGAAGTAAGTTTATGCTCCTGCCACCCAATTTTTATTACGCCTTCAGTCTTTGCAGCTGATGAAGTGAGCAATTTGTTTTGGGATACGGTGAGTTTGCAGGTGGATCTAGGTTTCACAGCTTAATATAATTTAATATTGGGAACATTGGCTGGAGGCGTAACATGAAGTAATATTAGGAACGTTGGGCAGCCCACATAGATGAGAAAGACATGCAGATACAGCTATAAATCTTGAGGGATTTGGAAGATTGGCAGGCTAGCTCATTCTAAGGTTGTTTTTCTCTCAGTGTAGGCTGAAAAATCTGGTAAAATACTGGCCCAGTTCCTGCAGATACTATGTGGCTTGTTAAAATAATGAAATCCTGAAGTAGACATAATGCCAAAGATGGCTTCCAGGCCTGACACTAAATTTGATAAGATCATTAACAGTTCGATTTCATTACCAATTATGCGTTACTGTATTGGAGCTGCTTCGTATTTTGTTACTCAATAACTACTTTGTGGACTAGTCTAGTTCTATTAAGTTCTCTGGATCCTTAATATGGAAAAAACGGAGTAAAGAAAGTTTTATATAGGGAACCAGAAGAAACTAAATTGTAGAAAATACGATTCATAGATGGACAACGTAAACTGTTATAGAGTAAATCTGTGGAGTGCACATTTATCAAATGCTGCCTTTAATACATTTTTTTCCTCCCCCTGGAAGGGGAACAGTCAAATATGAGAGAGATGAAAGAACCTGGGGGGAATTGGGGCTAATGGTGATTGGGGATGCGTGGGTGACAATTTAATTGCTTATGATGCTTTAAATCAGTGTTTCTCAACCTTGGCTAGCTTGAAGTCCACAGGATTTCAAGTTGGCCAAGGTTGAGAAACACTGCTTTAAATAGTTTCCTTTCTTACTATCTTTATATAAATACCTTTTTACTTCTCAAATAGGCTTCACTTTTTTTCATAACAGGTAGTCCTTAACTAACAGCTGTTTGTTTAATGACTGTTCAAACTTGCAGCACTGAAAAAGTGACTTATCACCACTTTTTCACACTTAAAACTGTTGCAGCCTCCCCATGGTCACATGATCAAAATTTGGCCGCTTGGCAACTGGCATATTTTATGACTGTTGCATTGTCCGGTTCCACCACAAAACCGCGGACGACAAAATCGCGCTCGACGAAAGCGCGCATTTGACGTCATCACAGTGCGACGAAA